AAGCAAAATGTGGGGATCATATTTGATAAAGTGTTGCATCAACTGGAAGAACTCCTGGTCTGTAACCCATCCACTGGAATTACCTGCTCCTATACAGTCAGGGGGCCGCCATTAATTTAGTGACTCTTGAATTTTTTTCTGGGAAATACCAACATAGGAGGAACTGTGTTTCCAGAAGCAGACACAGCTGTTACGACTGTAACATTTGTACCTCTTTTCCCTGACATCAGAGTGCCAACGTTACGTTTACCCTTGGCAGCTACAATTTTTGATGGCTTCAGGACTGTGGACACTTCAGTTTCATTCACATTCCATATTTGTGAAGCAGTGAATCTATATTTGTCCATAACTTCCGCTAACTTGTCAAAAGAACTTTAATGTTATGAGCATTAAATGCTGTCGCCCTACCGAGGCTGATTGGTTCTGGCTTACGAATAGACAACTCGTAGTGACGTTTCAAAAACATGGTAAGCCATTCTTTCCCCGCCATTTTATTTACAGTCCAGGAGGCTGAGATTTTTATTCCGAATTTAACACTCATAGGCAAGGCGACGAACATCTTTTGGGAAGTATCCATAGAAGATTGATGCCATTTGTAGCAAATAGTTTTTTGGAGAATCTTCTAACTCGGGAGAAAATATCTGCCTTGATGTTGCATAACCCATTGAAGGAACAACTCTTTCAGACTCCGATTTATTAATAAATCTGGTCAAAGTCATTCGCTTGATGTCAAATCCCTTGGCGGCGGCATTTACACTTTTTCCTTCTTTGACAGCATTAGCAGCATCATTTAACTGTTGAGTTGAGTATACACCTCTTGAAGTTTTCCTTTTATACGTCCGCATTCTAAAACGAGAGAAAGTTACTATCTACTATCTAGTAANCCTCCCCCAACGATATTATAATTTTTTTATCTGATCAATACCGTAGATTGCTGAGGAGAGTGGTGTGATGACTGCTAACTAGGACCTTCCGACTTATTCCGACCGTTTGAAATATTTTTTTTTACTTATTTCATTTTTGTTTGTTTTGACTTGGATGGGAGATCCATGCTTGTATACCGATTCTGAGACAAAATTCTTTGTATAGATTATATTGGATCTATATCTTTTTATAGTGTAATACTATAGTACTAGTCAAGCCATGTCATTTGATACCCATATTAAGGTAGTTGTGGAATAATATTTAATCCGCCATTTTGTAGCTGCAGCCATCTTGAATTTGCTTTTTTTTAAAAGTATGCTACAATTGTACTAGTCAAGCCCTGAGCCCATATTGAGATAGTTGTGAAAAAATATGTAATCGGTCATCTTGGATTTACAGTTATACAAAATTTATTGAATTGTATTGTCATCAAAACTAAATTTGTGTACAGATGTAAGATGGAAATGTCTTCAGTTGATATGAAAATTAAATAAATTTAAAGTTTGAGAAAAATAAAATAGAGAAGGGGTGAAATTGGAAGTTTTTTACAAAAATTCATATTTTTTTAAAGTACCTACTCATTTCTGGCAAAAATCCTGAAATAAATTGATTCATAGTTCCGAATGATGATTATTGAGAGAGAGGTTATATTACAAGCTTTCAAGAATAAATAAATATAAATTATCTAATATCTCATTTGAAATATTTTTAATCACTGATTAATGTTTCGTACAAAGTGAACAAAAGTTAGTATTTCGTTTCAGTTCATGAATATTGTCGATAATAACAACAAACACCCAACAAGAAAAACCTGTGGAGGTGTAACATTTGATTCACAAGGTAACATACAAAAACATAATAAATGACTAAAATAAATATAATGATAATCAGTAAAACCAAACAGAGGTGGTTATACAAGATGCAATGAAGGTAGTGGTCAGTAGTCGGGCGGTTCGACATGAGTGCTCACTCTCTCAATCAACCGATGTGTGAGTCAGTGGTTCAAGACGCAGGCTATTCGTTTATAAAAACTCACAACAATTTTCCAAGGAAATTGTCAATGAACACTGCTATTGAATGTAATCTCTAGTGACTATACATTTTGAGCAATTACTACTGACAACTGCTGAATTTATTGCTATTCTTTTCATTCAATTTTATTATAGGGTGATTCGGGAGGGCCACTTCAACTACAGCAAGACGGAAGATTGTATCTCGTTGGGATCACATCTTTTGGAATAGGTTGTGGTAGAGCTGACAGTCCTGGAGTCTATACACGAGTGTCCTATTACATACCATGGATTGAGAGTATTGTTTGGTAGATGAACAAAACAAAAACTGAATCGATCAAAATAATGAATTTTGAACTCGGAAACAACTCGAAATTGTGATAAATATAATATATGAGTGTCGTGCGTTCTTTATTCCCATCATAAATTTAACTAAATTGTGAAAGAAAGATTTTGCATTTCTACTTCTCCATCTTTATGCAAATGAATGTGGGAATCTTCCAAAGGAAAGAAGAAAACAAATTATTTCAAAATGAATTGTTCATAAAGATGTGTGGATCATTCAATGAATCAACTTTCAGGCACAAACTGGAAAAAAGTCTTCTCGAAACAACTACTTACATATGAACAATGACTTATACTAAAACACTCTTTCCTATTCAGTTTGTATTCTGAATATTTGTTATGGAATCGAATCAGATATGATTCACATGATTCCTACACAATATGGTGAATGAAAGGTGAAATTTGACTTACATGGAACACTGTCATCCTCAATGTCGAACATCCGATGTTTCGAAGTAAGACGCTTGCCTCATTGCATTTTCAGCACCAATCTGGATAACATTATGAGATGAAACACTCAATTCATATGTATATGTGGCGAAGCATTACCACATTCTAGTCGATATATAACAGATCTCTTCCTTTTGTCTAATTTAGGTTTGGCATTGAATAATCTGTTTCCTAAATTTCTGTCAAACCTAAATTAGACAAAGGGAAGAGATCTGGTATATATCGACTAGATATCGACTAGAATGTGGTGAATGCCCCGCCATATATACAGGCCAAACTGGTAGAAATTTTAATACACGCCGTGTGCGGCATATTTACTTCCATTTTACTTCCAAAAGTCAATAAAATAATTGTATGAATTATACGTGAAGGTTAAGGGACGTTTTCAACCACAAAATACATTGTTGAGATAAATGCATTTTTTTAATTATTATTGAATGATTAATGAAAATGGAACTTTTAACGGGTGATGATCAACTGTATTGCCAAACATATGCCAAACTAACTAAGTTTTATAAGAAAACAAGTATAGCTGAGGCACCAGTCAATCTAATAATAACACTGTTGATCTTCAAACATGACTCAACTTCTGACGGAAGTACCAAACTCTTACGAAAGTTCGAAATAGATGAATACTTCAATGTAGCAGACCACTTTTATAATCTTTATGCATTCATTGTTGAATCTGGTCATTATTATGCATTGGTCTAAGACGAAACGGACTGGTAGAGGTTTGACGATAGTCGTTTCACTAAATATTCTAGCGAAAGCTTGAATTTATTGAAGCCTCTAAAGGCACCCTCCGTTTTGTTTTATGAGAGAGAGGACATTGGTAGACCAAGATCTGCAGATGATGTGGTGCTGCAGGTTTTTCCGGGTTTTTCTGCAGCTGAAAAAGCATATGGGCCAATTAATTTTTGTTGTTTCATAATGTCATGATTTGCATTACTTTCTTCTTTGATATCAAGACGGATTTCCGCTAAACGTACTCGCTTGTGCTTAGTTCCGTTTTCAAAAACAGAAACATAAAACTTGTTTTAGTTTCGAAAACAAACCCGAATTCCACCAAACAGACAAAAATGAGTCTGAGTCGCGTATTTTGTTGTGAATTGTTTATTATAGTTTCCACTATAAGAACAGTTTTTATCATGCCTTCTGTCTAGGCTATGTTTTTATAATGGGATGCGATTTTCAATAATCGAAAATTTTGAGTGAAAGAAGCGAAAGCAAAAAAAAAAAAATACTGGATGAAATAGGTCATTGTTCAGAAGACGAGTAGATTATGGAACGGATAAAATTGTGGCAGATTTGATAAATGATGACATAGTAATGAATGGAACTGAAATCATCGTTTCGTAACTTTTTGAGAATGTCCAACACGAATTTGAAAACTTGTTAATTACACTGGGACCAAAAATGTTCAAACAGAATATAAAGATATGTTATATCTGAATAGTTGCTTGTAGTTGTCGTCGACTGTTTCGACATAGCGAACTGTGTTTACGAAAACACAGACAAAACACCGAAACTTTTTGATCTTTCCGCCAGCTGACGGGACATTTCGTTGTTGACAAAAACAATCGCCCGCGATACAAAGTCTTCAAAATGTTTCTATCAAGTTCTGCTTCACCCAGCATATGCCCCAGACCTCTCGCTAACCGATCACTATATCTTCAAGCACTCCGATAACTTTCTCACCGGTGGAACCATCGCCAATTAGGACTAGGCAAAAACGGCTTTTGTCGACTTCATCGAATCCTGTGGACACAATTTTCATACTCACAAAATTAGTCAACCTGTGTTACTTATGATGCACTGTTTGGAACCTTTGGTGTAGTAATGAATATTACTACCCTCATACGAAAGACAACTCTCAGAAGTTGAGAAACTTTTGCGAGTTAAGGACTAACGAGGTCTTACCTTTTAACGTGTAATTCCTAACACGGAATCTTCTACTCTCTTCTACTCTCCAATTTAACTGTATTTTGAAAGTGTTTTTCTTATCCTTCGGCATTGCAATGGTTTTTTTATTATGGCTTTACAATTTGTTTTTCAATCTACATTGGTACATCCCAATTCGTTATAGTTTAATATATTTACTGTTCATTTCCATATTTCTCAAATGAATTCTTCTTCAAATTTGAAATATTCATCACTTAGTCAAAAAACGGATATGAACTTCATTATCAATTTCATTTATTTTCTGTCTAAATTACTAAACAACTCTTTCTGAATCATGAGTTGCCAAGTTTTATGAAACAATAAGAAATTATGACTACGTAATGTTGGCCTCAACACTTCTCAACCGAAATGATTCTTCAATTCAAATGTATATGTTGGTGAAATTTTCATTTCAGAGGTGACATTCAATACGTCAGACTTGGAACTACTACTCTCCAAACGGAAACTTTGAATTCCGAAGATTTCAACGTAATCAGGAGGATTCCTCATCCGGGTTATGTCCAAGGAAAACAGTACAACGATATCGCATTGCTTCAGTTGGACCGACCTGTTGATTTCTCAGATTATATTGCACCAATATGTTTGTCAGACTTTAAGGATTTTGTCAACACGAAGTTGATAGCTACGGGATGGGGAAAAGTTGAAGCAGATGGTATCGGCAGTCCAGAGTTGCAGAAAGTTGAGCTAGAATATTATCCTAATGATGTTTGTCAAGTGGCTTACGACAGTATTTCCTTGGAAGACTTGCCGAATGGAATATCAGAAGAAACACAGATTTGTGCAGGAGCCTTCGACGGGTCAAGAGACACTTGCCAGGTAGTTTTTTTTTGTGTGTATTTCATAACCTAGATATTCTTCTGTATTTAAGGATCCATAATTCCAAAGGACAAGTGCAAAAACTCATCTCATGATTTGAGTATCACGATTGATTTCAGATTTACAAATTGAATATCTGATTGAAGATCTGAAGATTAGAGAGGAAACTGATTGTAGAGGTGACAGAATATCTATAAGATAATGATAATGAGCAGAAAGTGCATCACCTTGCAAAAAAGAATGTTGGAATATTTCAATATATCAATAATTTGTTGCAAATATTTAGAACAAAGTTCATATTTTTAGCAAGACAACAGTTCAAAAATTTTTCTTAGGCAAGCCTATTGCAGTTCAAGATCACAGAGCCAATATTTCCATAATGAAAGTATGGATGAAACTATATCTACTTGATAAAGGAAAAAGGGATCATTTGATAGATATCATAGAATATGTTCTAGATACCTTCCATTGAGAATGTCAGATCACGGCTACTGTTAACTTAGAACGTGACGTTATAGGATTATTGACATAATTATGTTTGACTTGTCATCCACCCATCGTCGTAGTATGATAAATCTCAATTACAAAACAGTAGATATGCTATGAGAGAGCTATGACCGAAATGGCCGTTTCCTCATGTGAATCTCCATAAGAAAAAAGCAGGTTCAACATGTCATTTTTGTCACTAGATTTGTCACTGGTTTTGTCACTAGATCTGACAAAAAAGTCACTACATTTGTCCTAAATGTCACTAGAATTTTTCAAAAGTCCCTAGAAACAAAATTCACTAGATTCTACTTATGATTTATATAGGTAAACGAGAATCTTAGGTAGAATATCAGGGGCTAGGGACTTTTTGAAGAAATCTAGTGACATTTCAGAAAGTCAGTGGGATTCAAAAAACTCAGTAAATGAGTTGAATATAGACGGGTACGGTGCAAGTAATAGAAGATGACTTTAATACAGATTCAAATCTTAAAAATGAATAATACTATATGTATTATTTTTATCCCACTTTCTGTCCTAAAACCAATTATGAACAATCGATTTCTGCAAGAATTGAAAAATATTGAATTCTTCTTCAGAAACGAAGTAAATTATATTCATGTGTGTATTATTGTATCGCATACGTTGAAAATTTCATACCTATGCTGCCAATAATTCGACTACAGAATTATTATTATCAAATATTTTTTATGAAATTTGGTATACTACCATTTGACACGGTGCCCAGTCCAATTGTGATTTCAAATTTTTATTAAAAAAATCGCTAATACGATTTCTTGTTTAAAAAAAATCCATTTAAAATCTGTTCAAAATCTGTTTTTCCCCTACGAACGACAACCTTCAGAAGTCGAAACTTGTGCGAGCTGAGAACTAACGAGGTCCCACTTTTTAACGTGTGATTCCCAACACGGGTTGGACGATAGCAAGTGAAACTCGATCGTTCAGTTTAGGGCTTGAACCACCGACCAACACGGCGGTCGATTTGAGTGAGTGAACAAAACACCCACGTCGAAGCGACCGGCTACCGACCGACATTTTGACTCATACAAATATTCGCAGCAGGTCTTATATTGATTTCAATCTAATAGCCACCGGTAGAATAGGAATGACCAAGAAGTACTCATCTATTCATTTTTTGATTTTCATGGAATTATTTTCCAGCAGCTTGACTGCATTAATCTTTCTAGATTTCATATCATTTCTAGAAATATGTGGATTCGTTTTCCGATGGCATTTCAGGTTAGCTTCCCGAATTTCTGCTACCGCAGTTGTCAGTTGATTGGTCAAACAACCGACACTGACATAAAAACTTGGCAAGTTGACTTGGGTGTCACACCAATAGGTGGTTCCAGTTATGTTTCGTTTGCGTTTACGCAGCTATTTTTATCAAGTACTTTCTTGCCTTTTCTCATTTTGTCTTGGGGAAGGGAGCCAGGCTTCAACCTGCATGAAATCAAGATGGATTACGTCATTTTGTCTTCAATCGAGGACCGCCTGCCCGGTACTGACGATGCTCAATAGGCTGAAACAGCTGTCTACCGGTGGCTCTTGAATTGAAATCAATATAGGAATGATCAAGAAGTACTCATCTATTCATTTTTTGATTTTCATGGAATTATTTTCCAGCAGCTTGACTGCATTAACCTTTCTACATTATAGACCACATTACAGACCACTAAATCTTCATGCAGTCATTGTTCACTGTGGTTTTGGCGTTGAATCTGTTCATTATTACGCATTGGTCAAAGACGAAATGGACTGGTTTAAGTTTGACAATAGTCGTGTCACTAAGTGTTCTGACGATGTCTTGAATTTATTGGAGCCTCCGGAGACACCATACACTTTATTCTATGAAAGAGAGGACATTGGCAGATCAAGATCTGATGTGGTGCTGCAATATTTTTTTTTTTTATCTGCGTGGCATCAGCTGGGTTAGTTGTTGTTTTTTCCGTTGGGTATCTACCACACGTACCTACAAAGTCGTAGGTCTGTATGAGAGGAAAGGGGCAACCTTGAGCATGTCATAATGCACCTTTCCGGAATATTATTCATTATTCTAACTGCCGCCCCAGAGTATGCTTGTGGAGTTGTTTCCTGGCTTTGTCTGCAGGTGGCGCAGTGGGTATCCCACTGAAACAACTGCAGAGAGATTCCATTACTAGCTGGAATTATATTTGTTTGGTCGTGATACTCAGACGATTCACATCGTTCTGAAGAGACATACTTTATCAACGCATGAAATTCCTTTTCATTCGTTTCCTTCAAACTAACAAAACTTGCTTCACTTAAAATATTCTATCACACAAACGAATAGTCCCATAGCTGTGAAATTTGTACACGTGTCTTTTAATTTAATACTTGTAATGACATCTGTGTGTAATGGATGAAACAAATACCCCTACTACGAAGCAAAAAAATAGTCCGTATTATAACATACCCTTCATTACATAAATTTTATATTGTATATCAAAATATTTTATATATTTCATTGTAGATGGGGATGATTGTACGCTAGTTGATGGAAAGAGAGGAATATGTAAAAATATAAAAAATTGCACATACGCTACTACTATCCTGAAGGCCGGAAAGAAACCAGAAATTTGTGGATTTAACACGCTTGATCCAATTGTTTGTTGTCCAAATGGTTATTTGTACCTCCATGGTACTCTTATTGAAAGAAGGCGAACCAGTGATGAGAGTGAGTATTATTTTGAGAGTTCATTTTATATTCGACTAGTTGTTGCCCGCGACTTCGCCCGCGTAGAATTTAATGTGTCACATTAAGTTTTGTGACAGACCATTTCAAACAAATAGTTACAATATTTTTTTAATAACCCAAAACTTCAGGTTTGAACACCTACTTTCTCTCTTAGGGTGGAAATTTCTGATTCCCTTTCTTGATGCTTATTTACGCTATACAAAGAACCTACCTGCATATTTAAAGATTCTGGGTTCAGTAGCTTCAGCTGTATGTTAATGTAAGAACGGGCAACAGCTAGTAATTTATATTTTCACTTAAAAAATACAGTAACTAAAAAAATATGCAAACTGCACTAAGTAATGAAAGCTTCGAAAATCGAATCATGTTACCTGAAGAAATTTGCAACACTAACACAACCGTCAACGACGCAACGTCTTCCCTCATGCGTCTGCCCGCGTTCTCGGCGATAAGGCTTCATTGCTTAGACCACCCCTCTACCCCCGCGCATCGTCCTCCGTCGTCTTACAGTAGACGCGACGCGTAATGGCTCACTGTGTTGCGTCAAGTTGATCCCATCGTGATAACTTTCAAACGATTCGTCCAAATAACTTAGTGTGAAAATAGTTTACCTATATTAAATATTTAAAACGACAATTTTATCAATTTTTTCATAAGAATTTGACAGATATTCTAAAATGTGCACTGTAAAAAAAGTATCCAATTTAATCGTATTTATGGCTCAGTATTTTGCATGTAGTGGCTACCACATAAGGAATAGATATATGCTATCGCAGTTTTTTATTTAGAACTATTTAAGATAAACAATCCTACTGTACATTATCTGCATGTAACTCAAACGGTATAAGCACTGTATATAAGTAAACACAAGTAAATTCACTTCAGTCGGCCTTTTTGATATTTCGGGTCGATATTTTATTTTTTGATTGGCATATGGCGGGGCAGGAGGGTGTAGGCAAAGAGCTGTTGTGCACCTCTGCACGAGGTTCGATCAAAAAATATGTGACCATGATCTGACTTCATCATTGCTACGAGGAGCTCCCAATAAATGTCTCATATGATTGTGAACTGTTTAGGAATTGATAAAAAATAAAACAAGGTGGTGAAATAAACGTATAATGTATATAGTAAGATAATACAATTGAGGTCAAGAACTTATGCTAATCTTTTCTAAACGTTTTTCAGAATGAGGAGTTTTTGATTTTTTTTTAACATTGGTTTTCAAATTTCTATTGGCAAATTTCAAAGTATAATATATTCTTACCCTTGTGAAAAGAGAACATTAATAATCCAAAAGAAAATTATCACAAGGGTGAGAAATGTTGATTTTTGAAAACATTGTTTGAAGTGGTTGCCTATGCAATCAGTGGCACATAAATTGCTGAAATGATCAAGAAATTCTGTCTCTAGATGAATGATACATTATAAAAATGAATCTGGAGACATATATAAACTTCCAAACTATTTGGCTACTGTATTACTATATGCCTTGAAATAACTATATACATTTGTTTCATTCAATGTGGTACTAGCCGCCGTGGCAAAATTTGTACATACTTCACATGAATGTTTTCTTAAACATTTTCTCCAAAGATATCCACAAACANAAATACAGATTTCTTAGTTTTGGGTTGCCTAGTTTGCTAATTATAAAGTGTGTCAATCAAATGAAATTCTAATGTTTTTTGTTATTGAAGACAGAATCTAAGAAAAGACATATTTGCTATTTATAGTAGATTATCTGGAACATATAAATGGAAAGTAGGCTCTAAAA